TGTGTGTGTGTGTGTGTGTGCGCACGTATAGTGGAGTGTGCTCTTTTTGTGCCAAATAAATTATTTCTGCTTCCATCATTCTTTTAGCTGAATAGCAAAGCTGAAAAATTCTCTGTTTATTGGAATGCTAACAGCTGCAATCAATCTATTAATAATTTAGAGTGGTAATTTAGTTCAAATTTATTTGTACCTTTAAGACATTCTGTGTTGTTTACAGCAATTTTATAATTTATCTCTTTCTTCTCCTGTGTCTTTATATGCTGCTGAATTGGGAAGGTGGACAAGATGGCCGGTGTCTACAACATACATTTTCGCACAGGTTGCTTCTGTAACACAGGAGCCTGCCAGATGCATTTAGGTATAAGCAATGAGGACATCCGAAGAAACCTGCAGGTTAGTTTTTGAATGAGATTACGTGGTGTGTTTCCCATGGAGAAGGTCTAGACTCAGTGACCCAAGGGACTCTGAATTTGCTGATGACTGGAATAGTTGAAGGAGAGAAGACGGTCTGGCCCTGTGTCAAAAAGAAATACCTAAGGAGTTATAAGATAAAGTAGGCATATCGTGGTCTTTTGAGTCTCTGCAACTGATAGAATGAATGCAAGTTTGATCTGTTTTTTTCTGAGCTTTCAACTCAGGTACCATGTTAAAGAAATAAATGAACTTCAGTTCTTTGAAATGAGATGTTGAAACAAAATGATCTGATGATCCAAAAACAGCATGTGCCGTTTCTTTTTATTTCATCAGAAATTTACAGCTTCTTGTTAGGATTTAGAAGTACATGAAATGAAAACTTCCTACAGAACAGAAGTTCCTGGACAATTCAACTCACGTAGTTCCTTAAGTATATTTTATTGTACTCAATAATGTTCAGCTAGAACAGAGATATTGCTCTTGGGCATTATAGTCTAAAAGGCATGCATAAATTGGACAAGAAACAATACATAAGAACAAGCTGTGAATTTCTGGCAACAAAGTAAACTTGGGAAATTGTTCAGATAGACAACATGTCTAGCTAGATTACTGGTTTGTTTGTTAGATTCTTAGAACATGAAGACTGTTTTCTAACTGCATCATGGTGACTAATGTTTTCCATAAATTGTCATTCAAGGATGTGTGCAGTGAAGTGGGGGAGGCCTCGTATCTGTGTATTTGTCAAAGCTTAGAATTACAATAAATTAATACAGTACAACCCAAAACTATATTAACAATATTCTTCAAAAGATCCAAAATGATAATGACCTTATAGATATTACAGTCTCCTTACAATTTTATAGAGACATTTAGATAAATTTGCAAATAAATATACAAGACTGATAGCACAAGTCCTTAGATGGGGAGAGAGCTCTCTATTATCTCCCTTGACAAAACAGTGCTTTCATTTTACATGGAAAGCTCCATGTACATAGCTGACTTCCATAATCTGTTTAAGAACAGATGAGCAATGCTCCTTCCTGTTAAGGAGAAAAAATCCAGATGAACAGCAACACCACTCTTGGATCTTCTCTTATGAAGAGGATTTTGTAAAGGACTAGGTGAGCCTTTGTAGGCCTGTATCTGCCCTATAGACCAAACACAAACCTGTAAAGAGACACTTCATCTGCCAGCAGAGGTCCGGTGAGGTGGTGCAGACAAGCAGTTGTCATTGTGGGACATTCTCACTGGTCCTTTGTGAAGGATGTAAATGACTTATTGACAGCGCTACTGCATAGGGAACACTCCTTTTTTTTTCCTGATATTTGCTCATATGCTTTGTTTTTTTGCATCTTCCCAGGTTGTCGACTGCATTCTTCTATCTCTAATGAAGGTTTTCATGTTCTGTAAGCAGTTTCAAACTGCTTGTGAGTGAGGACTTTCTTTCCTCAAGGATCCATGGAGAAATACAGCTAGTTTCCTTAGGTTTTGGACAGGAACTAATTAACTTACTTGAACAGCAGAAACCTCTCTTCTTAGTCAGTCAATCAATACCTAGCAGAAAGGTTACATGTATATTAAGAGATGCAACCCAATTTGGTAAATGTTGATTCTACTCTGTTGTCAAGGGTAAAAATTACATCACACTACATCAAAATATTCAATGCTGTATTTCATGCTTTGACACATTTTTTTTTCTCTGTGCATAAATGGGAGTTGTGTTCACTGAACTGTGACACTGCTTGCTTAAGAAAGCCCTTGTGTAAATAATCTATTCACATTTCTGGTTTTGTGTTGCACATAAATAAATGAAATTTTAAGAAAAAAGAAAAAGCAGCTCATGTATTTACATGAATAAGGATGCTGACTTAGGACTAAGTCTTGTGTTCGTTGATGAGCTAGTGTTTGGTGGTCATCAGAGCGAGTCAATAGCTTATCCCATTGCAGGTGAGTAGCAGCATTCTCTGACCCAGTTAGTGAAGAAAAAAATGGGGTATTTGAGGGATTTTTTAACAAAAACTTTTTCGTAAGTTGAAATTTGTGTTTTTCAAATATGGAAATATTAGGGGAAAAGGTAGTTCTGTCCATCTGGAAAGAACGATATTGACTGGATCAGTGGCACTGATTGACTACATGTCTCAAGGACCAGGGAAATCACTCTGGATCATAGAGTCCTAGATTCAAGGCTCTACTTTGCTAATACCCCAGGCAGGTTCTTAGCTGTAGAGCCACTGGACTGTGTCACAAAGGATGGGAGTAATCCACTGGCGATATATAGTGGGACAGTTCCAATGGGGAAGCTCACCCAGAATTGGCATTCTAACATGTCTAAACATAATATTCCAGTTAAAATCTCATGGAACTGAAACTGGACCTTGAGACTGATCTTGCAGCCAGTCGGTTCTGGGACATGCAGATTTTTTTTTTCTGAATCTTCCCATAAGTTTTTGAGTGGTTTCTTTTGCCTTAGGGCAGAGTAGGACAAGTATCTCAAAACAATCTTCCTCCCAGCTTGAGTGAGACAGTTTTGATTTTTTTTCTACATCATCTCTTTAAATTCAGGGGTTTACTGTATAGATTTGAAAGCAGTTCTTCAGGCTAGAAGTAACAGTGGTGAGAAATATGTAAAACAAGGGGGAAATAGAGCAAAGCCTGTACTAATAGCTCCCTATTTTTCTTTCTGTTTGGAATTAGGCAGGCCACTTATGCGGAGATGATATAGACCTGATTGATGGACGTCCCACTGGTTCTGTGAGAATATCATTTGGGTACATGTCTACTTTTGAAGATGCACAGACTTTTCTGAAATTTATCATAGCCACCAGATTCTCCAAGTCAGACACTGCAGTTCCCTTCCAGTCCTCTGTTACAAATCTGACAACAGAGTCTGTCAAATCCCCAGTTCAGGATGACTACTCCTCCAGCAACAACGCTAATAAATTGACTCCAAGAATGCACATGTTAGACAGAGACCTCTGGGATGATTCACCTGCAGCAGTGAGGACTGTCAAGTGGCAGCCACAGGGGACTGAGGTGGAAAGCGTAAGGGCAGCTGTTTCTGAGATGGCAGTACCGACATGCAGAAGAGGAGGCAAACCCATTACTGTCACCAATATTTACCTGTATCCAATCAAATCATGCTCTGCATTTGAGGTATGCAACTTAAATTATTCTTAAATATTCACCACAATTCTGTTTGTTTATTTTTTTTCCTGGCCCCTGTCAGACCTGGCAACGGAGAATACCAAGTGCAGGTATTTGGAAACAGCATGGGGGTAGCATTTTTCCTGATGAAAAACACTCCTTTTCTCAAAGTTCCGGCACACTAAGGGACTTCGAAGGATTTTGAGTTAGAATTGCCTAGGATTTTCAAAGTTACAGGATGTAAATGTGTTACATTGTTTCTGCTCTCCTCAAACAGAAAAATCTGCATGTAATATGCAGTCCTGAAAAAAAAAAGGTTGGATTTGCAAAACTTGGCTAAAATATAATCAAGTAATTAGTATGCTTTTACAAAATGACATGTGATAGACTTGTAGGCATTGATGGGTAGGCAGCAATTGAGAAATAACTTGATTAACATGTTATAATTGAGAGGAGGCTGATTTACATTACAAAGAAATGTTATCATTAAAAATACATTTGCAACAGAAATATGACATTTAGGTGGTGCTGCACTGTTTGAAAGTTCACTCTTTGAAGCTTTTAATTGCTTTTTTGCCAAGTTAATAATATCGTCACCTTAGCTGTGAGGGTTTTTTTGCAAATAATGCGTGATAAAATAGGTGTATGGTCTGCACGTTGACCTAGACTGTGACTCTACTTAGTACCATACTGGGCAGTGATTTAATGAATGTCAATAACGGTATAACTTACCTGTGAAAACTTACTGGTGTAGGTCACTGTCTCACATCTGACTGCAAATTGGGGTCAAGTCCAGTGACAAATCACCTGCATTTAATATATGTCTTCTCAGCTGATTTGATCATGATTTTTTTTTGCTTAATATGAAAAATGGCTGGAGAATTAAAGCAGAGAATACTGAATGACTAGCAAACTGTCTGTATATTTAAACTTGGTGTTGTTTACCATATCTTTAATTCACAATCTTCAGCATCAAATGAGATCTGAACAAGCAACTTCCACAATTGTTTAGAAAAGCAAAGTGATCCCACATTTAATGCGAGAATGTTCTAACCTCCATCTAAGTGTTGCAGATTATTAGCTGTGTTACAGGAGACCACTACAGAAGCTGCTGAAATCTCTTGTAGCAGTATTCAGGCCTCTTTGGGCTTAAATTCTACTTTTAGAACCTGATGACTGGTTTTATGAGATATATGCCACAACAGTCAGTGCTAGGAAGTCTTTGAAGCGATGGTGCCCAGGAGCAGGTAAGGAGTACCTCAGCGTGAAAGATACAGCCTACATTTCCCCACACATGGAGACAGGTTTCTTCTCTTCAAGCTCTGGGAGAAGAAACTACTTTAAATGATAAATTCACGCAGACCTGATACTCCCTGACAGACAGAACTGTGCCTGTATACAGAGGAGGAAAATCCCCATTCCTTATGCACACTTCTTGTTCTAAACATGATCTTAAACACAGGGTTCATTTTACCTAAACATATCCCTCCAAAGTGAGGTATTAGTCTGAAAGCAGTGAGCAATGGATACCTGCTATCTTGCCATAAAAGAGGCGTCTACAGTAGGTAAGATAAATTATTCCTGACTATTCCTTTCACTTTCCATTGATTTTAAGAGGGATCTTGAGCAACTTGAATTAGGCAGCTAATATTAGATGATATGACTACTTTTAAAAATATGATTGTTAGAATCACAACCATATTATGAGACTTAGTTTTGCATGTTTAGAATCATTTTTGAAATTTGGGTGTATTCTGATTTGGTATTTTTTGGTAACGAAGGAGCAGCAGAACTCAGTAAGGTAAGCACTGTCCAACTCTCTACTGCCAAAGAAACAACATACAATTAAAAATATACTAGCCTTCATATGTGGCATGGGTGGGACTAGAAGTTCATTATAAATAGCATTCTGTTTTCCTCCTCCTCTTCTTAAACACTGTTTTTCATGCATTTCCTCTTTGCGCGTAGAAGAGATATCACTGTGTATGAAGGAATGGTCGGAGCTGGTGTAATAGATGTGATGAAGAAGGATGTTTTCAATGCATAAGGAGTGCAGTATAGGAGAGTGGTCTAGGAGATGAAGTCAAGAAGCAAGCAGGAGGTCAAGATGATCTTCAAACTCTTGTGCTTTAGCGTCTCAAACCTGTGACATTACTGTCAGTGACAGGGGAAAGGAAACAGTGAGAAATAAAAACTTGATGTTTCATTGTATACCCTTCCAGTTGTTTAATGTACCTCTGCAGGAGGAGTTTTGAGGAGCCAACAGAGGGAAGAGACCAGGACAAAAGAAATCAGGATCAGCAGAAGAGCTGAGACAGCAAAAGACATGACAGTGATACTGTTGTGAATGAAAGTAGGGAAAAAAAAAGGGAAAGGAGTGATAAAACAGTATTGGAATGTTACATGATTTTTAATATTCAAGAAAATTCCAGAAGAAAATCAATTTGCTTTTGTGATCTCCACCAGGCATTCCTTGGTTTTCAGTTTCCAAAAGGCTAAGTGGTGATATATTTATAACCATATAACTATATTCATATTTATTGGCTGCCAAATATTTATAACCAGCCTTTGGGAGATCTGTCAATCTCATTCTCTGCCTGTAGATGTAAAAATGACAGCTCCTGGCTCACATTTTGTAATGAGCATTAAAATTAGTTTTCCACACTTGTTTCTAGTACAGGTTGAAATTTATAAGATATTGTATTTCTTTATTTTTCAAATCAAAAGAGAACAGAAAAGATATTTTTGGCAGCCCAGATCTTTTAGAAGTCAGTTAATCTCATTCTAAGTCATGCAGTAGCTTGGTCTCTTCCTGCAGATTAAGAGTAGAATTGAAAGACATCACCGCCAGAACCTGCATCATCTCTAACTCCATAGTGAAGCACCATCCACAACACTGTATATCATTACTGCAACTTTAGCCTGTGTCATCTTGAAAGGGGAAAATATCCAGCGTCAGCTTCCCTGCAGTTGGAAGCAAAGCATACTAGAGAAAACTTTACCCAAATAAACAGTCTCAAATCTTGAAAGTCATTTTGCCTTTCCAAGTACTGATTATTCTATCCTGTCTAGACTCTATCATGAGAAAACTTAATCATCTAGGAAAACACTGTTTTGCTAGTCTCATAATGGTGTGTGTCATACAGACTTCAGGTTAACGTGATAGTATTATTCCCTTACTTTCATAAACTCATAACTCATAAAAGTAATCACATAGCTTGTAGTTCTCTTAGTCTTCAACTAGATTGATTCAGCAAAGATTTCAAATCTAAAATACCCTTAAAATACACAGTAGTTGTGAAAGGTTATAAAAATATTTTCTGCCATTAAAATTTTGATCTCCATTTTTATCTGTTTTAAGATAGCTGTATGCTAGTTGATGTGAAAAGATGGAAAATATTTAGATATAGGGTGCAGTAAATCCATTCTGGCTATGCTTGAATACCTGAGATCAGAATCTCATAGACTGGTAAGTTCAAGGGGAGACCTGCAGCTGATATGGTAGGTCAGGCTTTTAGGGTGTATAGTAAGTAGATTTCATTGGGAAGTATGTGAACACTTGTGTTTGTCTGAAAGAGTATATGTCGTGGAAAATTCCATCTAACTGTGTGTGCAGGACCCAACCTACTGACAGTAAAGTCTGTCTGCTGATCTGTGGGTCACAGGATGCATAACGTTAGCAACAGATAGATAAACTTAGTGAGGATATCAACACAAACTCACAGCTGTTTAATCTCCTCTTTAGAGTCACATAATCTTCTCCTCGTCTAAACGCCTCTGATTTCTCTGCTCTTCTAAAAGTGCTTTAGTATGGGAGGTGCTTGACCTCCAGAGACAAGGAGAGTGCAGAGTGCTTTGGCAGCTGGGTGGATGAAGCTTTGCATGAAGATCTTCAGCTTACTGCAGGTTGGTTAGCTTCTACAGTGTGTGTGCTTTATAAAATGTTCCTGGAAATGGGCCCATCTTCTATTCAGTGGTGCTCCGTAAGTTTTTACATACTGCACAAGAGGGAGAGGACTAAATATTCCAACTGAACTTTTTTGGACGTTCTCATTTGATTTCCTTGCAGTTATTTAAGGGAGAGAAGCATCAAAGAGGAATAACCTTTATCGCTGACCATTTTTTATTCTTTTGCAACATAAAAACTTGTTTTAAGCATGCATTTTTAAACATGAGCATCTCTCATGTCCATGAATTTTGCATAATTACATAATGCAGGGAGCCCAGTAAAAAAGGTTAGGACTTTAAACATTCATAACCTTATTATTCTTGCAGTAGATTTCAAAGTATAAAAATTGCATTTTGACACACAAGACAAATTAGCTTTCACTTTAAAATACGATCCAAATTTTAATAATCGGTGGATAAATGATATATGAGACCACTAACATTTTTAATTTTGAACAATCTAAAGCCTGTGCAGTAATTTTCTTCCAAAATTGTTTTAGCCTTCATGGTGATGTTACTGTAAACTATGGGGAAAAAAAAGCAGTCAAAAAAATTTAAAGAAAATTCTGAAATAACAAAAAAAGACATTTTTGCAACAGATTTTTTTTTTCATATTACAAGAAAAAGAAATGAATTAAAGAAGATGGGCCGATATCATGAACTGATTGTGCTGTAGAATGGTTCTTGGTCATGACAGTCAGAGAAGACCTCACCTTGTACAGCTAGTTTGCCTGCTATGCTAGGAATGGAAGGTGTGTGTTAGCATGTGTTGATAAACTTATAGTGTCTTTGCTTTTTGTATGTTCTTCCACTTTTAATTTGTCTGAGTAGTTAGAAGAAGCTGTGGTTGGTGTTACTGACCGTGTTGTAAACTAACCTCCTTAATTTGCAGTAGGCTTCACTAGTTGGGTTGCTTCAATTAATCAGTTGCTTGAACATAGGTATGTGGTGCCATCTGGGATGCCCTGGTGTGCCTTGCCTTTCCTTTTGCTGCTGGGCCACCAAGACGTGGGCCAGCCTGTGCCACATCTGCCTCCTCTGGGCAGACACCCAAGGCCAGCTGAACTGAACCACTCTTCTTGTGTTTCAGATGAAAGGTAGTGAATTCCAGCAGAGCATTCCAGGCAGAATTCATTTGAAGCTCGCAATTATTCAACAATCTCTTCAGCCTCTTAGAAATAAGGATGGGAGTGGGTCCTCCTAGGCCACAAGCCTAAATACGAAGGAGAACAGAAATTCTATTTTCCACACTTATCTCCATCTCCAGTATCTTATTAGCATCAAAACAACTCGGGCTCTTGCACAACAGTTTAGAACTCTCTACTCAGGGCAGAGTACGCAGTCATTTTGTCGTGATTCTATATATTGAGGTCCTAACGACATAAGAGATACTGAAAATTCAAACAGAGAGGGAAGTAGGGTACCAGCCACATCCATGAAAGGCATGGGACTCACTGCTGGGCATGTTTATGTTTCATTCTTGTTATAAAGGCAAATACCCAGAGGAAGGGAAGAAATGGTCTGAGGACCTGTAGTTCTTTGTTGTCTCTCAGAGTGGAGGTTGGAGTCCCTTGCCTTTGTTTTAAACCTATCAAGACGTTTCGATTGGAAGGGGCCGTTTATTTCTAAATATGTTACCTGCTCAGATGGCTTTTCCACCAGATCCTTTTCACAATATAACAGCTATCTAACTCTCTGGTTGAATATAGATAGTTTTGTTTTATTAATAAAACCAATTCCCTTCAATGAAAGGTAAGCACAACTTAAATGTTTTCCCAAATAAGACTGCTGTCCTGAAGTGGAACTGTAAGAATCGAATGATATAATTGATAGCTAAAATACACTGCCTTCAGGGATCTTTTAGTATTTTTCTGCTCTTTTAGTTTATTCTGCACTTTATGTCTTGTAAATGCTGTGAAGATCTTCTGGTAGATCCATGAAAAGATGTATTACTGATTTGTGATCTTCTGTTTTGGAAGGAAACTCTTTGGTAAGTAACCCTTGCAGCTCTCAGATGATCACCGGCTGATAAAACACATTTTCCAACGTAGTTATACAGGATAACTGAAAAATGCTGGCCTGTTGAAAAGACACTTTCTGGAAAGGATCAAAGTCTGTCCTTCAACTGCCACAGTACCACAGCTCAGCCTTTGCGCTGTGAGTCTTCTCCTAGGGAAAAGGCAGGGCAAAGGTTGACATCCTTTAGGTGCTTACCATTTGAGGCATCCATACAACTTCGTTGCAGATGGTACTGCAGCACTTTTGACTGGCAGTTTTTACCTAAGCTTACATCAAAAACTGCTCAAAATATTATAAATCAAATAGATTGACAAATGCATTTCTTCAAAATTTTCCCCTATATGTTGTGTATTCCACAGAGTTGATAGCTTGTGGCCAAAATATATAGAAGAGATTAGTAGTTTGGGCTGTATCTATATTTTTATGTCCAACTTCAATTCTTTAGAATTTTATTTTCAGAGCATTTTGACTGCCTGCCCTTGGTTCCTCTAGTTAGGCAGTCAGTCCCAAGCTACTGCTGAGGACTCTAGCAAATTCTGGGGAAGTTCATAGGATCGGGAATTTGCAGGTTCTATGAGGTTTCGGATAGAGCACATGCAAAACAGAATTGTCATTTTAAAATAATCTAACTTGTGCTTGTTGTGCACCAGGTAGGTGCTGGTTCTTTCTGGATCTCAGTAAGAAAGAATGTCTTCTTGACTCTCAAGTATAATATGAGGTTTAATCAGAATGTTCAAAGCTAAGAGTAGAATAGGAAGTTGGCTTTTAAATCTTACATGCCTTCCGATGCTGGGAATGCAGAGATAATACAGCACCAGACAGACCTCTTGATGAGGACATGGCATGCTGCACTGATACTGTCCACGGTTGGCATTAGAGCTCTTACAGGTATTTCTTAGAAGAAAACAAGTCAGTTCATCATGTCAAGCAAGTATATGCACATAAGAACATTCTGCTTCCCTTTCCAGCAAAGACACACAAGCAGTCAGTAACTCCTTGTAAGCAGTCATTATTATACTTAGGTTCACTACAGTGCTTCAAGTTATGCATTTCTTCAGATTGTCAGGCTGTGCTTGACCCATTTTTTTCTTAATATTTTATCTAAAAGTCTTTTCCTAGCTAACTCGCAAGAGCTGCATTAAGCGTCATAATAAACTTTTACAAGGATTCATCACAGTCCAGCTGTAGCTAAGTCTTCTCCTTATTCAACTGTGACTAGAAAGCATACATGCACTGTGATTACATGCCCGTCTTTCTGTTAAAAGAATAGTATTTTGTCATTCTAAAGGAGAAAGCAGTTATTAATATCATCCAAAGGCATTAATAAAATGGTTCTCTTTTTGTATTTCAAGATTACCATCTGTGTAGCATCAGTAACAGCTGTTCTTTTCACCAGAAAAATGTACATGAAAGTAATGACAATATGGTTATATAGACTGTTGGATATAAAGAGCATTAGAGAAGTAATGGAAAAACAGGTAGCAAAGAAGACAAAAGTTTCTGTTGTAAGGGAATCCTAAAAAAATATTACACCGTCCATTAAAATGGAAAGCTTAATGGTGGAAGTTTTCTCAATTTGATTCATTGGTAAAGTGGTTCCAGTTTTAAGAAAAAAATGTGTTTTCTCAAAATAAGGAATTTCAAAATGACCTTGTTTTTTGTTCCTCATTTGTTTGTTTAGCTTAATTCATACATTTATTTTGAAGTATTTTTGCTTTGTAAATTAAAATTAAATTGTTGAGGGAAGGGGCCCTAAAAATGACCGAGAATAATATTGAGAACAATTTTCAGAGTATTTCATAGATTATTTACTGTATTGTATAAATCTGTTAAATGTAATATCTAATTGTAGGATAATACACAAATTACAGTAACTCAATTTTGTTTAGTCAGCTTCTCGCAGTCAGATCTTTATCTTTGATTTATAATTAAGGTTTCTATTATAAAGGCTGACATTGGCTTGCACACATTTTCCTGATTGCACACATTTTTCTTTCTAGCCTGAACCAATTAATGCAACTAACATTCTCTAAACCTCTTCATTTCCTCCTGATGCTTTCCTAGGTTGCAGAATGGCCAGTAGGAAACCAAGGATTGCTATATGATCGTAACTGGATGGTTGTAAATCAAAATGGAGTTTGCATGACCCAGAAGCAGGAGCCAAGGTTGTGCCTTATAAATCCCTCGATTGATCTGGAGCAAAATATTATGATCATTCAGGCAGAAGGTTGGTAAATAGTATCCTTTTCTCCCCTTTCATTATTAGTGTCAACTTTATAAGCTCGTTTACCTACCAAAATACTGGATGTTACGTATCCCTGCCAACATAGGCGATAAATTCTGCTATTTCATGTAAGGAAGTCCAGGCTGTAATAGCACTAGGTCGATCCCTAGTGTGTTGTAGAGGCAGGTAGAGAGAAGACAGTGACTCCCCACATGCAGTCATAAAATGAGTACTCAAGGAAGAGATGATGAATTGATAGATGTGGAAATCTCCTGACTATTCTACTCCTGAGGTCACAAAGAGAGTAGAAGTCCTGCAGCAAGAATGGAGTGTAATTGCTGTGAAGGTGGAGGAATTTGCTGTGAAGATGAAGGAGTAGCCATCGTCTGGGCTGTTTAGAGACTTTTCAGTTTTATAGATCTTCTTCCTGGAGCTGCGGGACTATGGCAAAGAGTCTTTAACATGAATTAGTATAATTAAAATAAGGACCAGATCTAACTCAGTTTAATATTTGCAGTGTTATGTACAATATACATGCAAATATTTGGAGATATTTGTTTTTTTCTGGATTCATCAAAACTCTTTTTATTCTCTCATGGGGAAGTAGAGTCCCAATGGAAAGCATTACAGAAAGCCTTGTGATACTGGAGGGTAGTTTTTTTGGTTGTTGGATTTTTTTTTCTAACACTGCTGTTAGCATTGAACTGTGGAACGGGTTTGTATTCCACAAAAGTCATTATTAATGCCAAGTTTTTATGTGGTTGAATGGTATTTACCATTTCCCTGAGGTCTAACTTCTACTCAGCCTGTATGCCTTAAACATTAATAATATATATTCCCATAATTTCAGCAGCCAGAGCACAACATGAGAATTAATGATTGGATTTTTATCCCTTATTAGAAGTCCATTATGGGTCTGCTTCTGATGGACCGTAACTACACTCTCCTTTCTGTATGTTAAATTCGTTCTCCCCTCCAACGCGCTGTTCATTCTCTATTCTCTAGACTATTAAGTCTAACCAGCTGATTTCTTTTTCATGGTGAATTGGAATAGGTCTGTCATACCTGCAAATTTGGCAAGTTTGTGTTTCTTTCAGATCCCAAACACAAATCTAGTCTCTTTTGGATTCCATATTGGCTTATTTTCACAAGCCATTTCCCCCTCTTCTCTCTACATTCTTTAAAAAGCTATTGTTGATTCCTTTCAATTCAAAGTAGAAGGCATTTCAACCCAGATTTTTGTTGTGCATTTTCATAGCCAGCCTACTCTGAAAGCATTCAGACTACAAAGTTGCTTCAGAACTCATTATTCCTAGAAATCAAATTCGTTTCCATCTCACTTCCTTTCTCCTCATACCTCTTGCTTGTGAATACAATATCTAAACTTGTCTAAGCTATCACCATTTATCCTTTTTCAGAGCTTCACATCTGGTGGGCCTTTAGAATGTTTCATTCTGATCATTTATTTTCTTTATTTTCTTTTATTTTCTTCTTTTTTTTTTCCTAGCTAGTATCACGTTGTTCAGTTAGCACAAATCCATAAGTACTTTTTAGACTACAATAATGTCTGCGCTGACATACTTCAGAGAGCCAGGAAGAAGTTTTCACAGACATAAACAACAGTCCAGACACCCATCTCTCACTGAGATTTAATGGCAGTTCAGTCTCTTGCCATAGTTGGTGCCGGAATGAAATTCACCTTTAAATCCTACATTTTACTTCATGTCATTGCTGGAGATTTCACAGTCACTTAACTTGCCTCATGTGAAAGTGAGAACCATTTCCACTCAGAAGTGATTGATCAAGTCTGTAGATCACTTTTCCATCCGAAGGTGATTGATCGCATCTCCCATGTGCTCTAACAGAAACTTGGTTGGCATTTACAGCTTGTCGTGTTGCCAGTAGGCAAGAGCAGAGAATCATTTTACTCTTTGTATAATGAGCCTAGATACCAATCATTCTGGCCAGTAGGATGATCTGGGGCCTCTTTGTAAGAGCACTGTTATTTTTCATCTTCATAGACTATTTGCAATCCATGTTATTTGTTAATGTTTGAGAGTGTGATAACGGCTCTCATTTGCTTGGAAAGGCTATTCTGGAGGATAGCTCATAAGGTAGCACTGTGATGGGAGCATATATGAACTGGCAGGTAGGACTCAGCAGATAAATCAGTAGGAAACTGTTCTAATATTTATTCTGAGTTTTTTTTTCCCTCTCACCTGCAGTCTAAACTCATGATTTATTTGTTTGTAATAAATTTTTATTCCTTCTTTTATCCCTTCAGATATATGAGTTGTTGTTATATCTGCCCCTTAAATCATTCTGTGGCAGACCAACTTAATTCACCCAGTTGACTCTTTCCTTGGAAGCCTCATGTTAATCATTCCCGCTTTTGTCACCGCTCCCTTCAGCCTGTCAATAGCTCGTTGCTAATTTAGCATCTGCGGCTCATTTCTTCCAGCTCTGTTTCTCTGACACAGGCAGAACCACATCTGTCCTGTCCTTATCCAGTGTGAGCCTGGGTCTGGGCATGGTGATGTGAACGTTTCTGGTGTTGAGGAGTGGGTGAAGGAGGTGGTGAAAGGAGGTGAAAAAACAAGTCAAGAGCATTTAGCTATACCTTTATTGCAGCTCTTGCCCTGTTCCTGTAATAGGAAATCTCAGTTGCTCCCAGCTGGTCAGGTAGCACCATTGTTCTGGGTAGCTGCCTTCTTCTCCTGCTGCCCCGTGAGGACACTGTCACCATCCACGTTCTCTGCTGTTTTCTCTGCTACCAGCTGTGCTTTTGGCAGCATGAGAACAGGTGGTGACAGTGATCCCATCAGCTTTGTTGTCTGGAGGTGTTTCTCTCCAGCAGAGAGAGCCTGAGGCAACTGTGCTCCTGGTTCGGTGCCTCTGTAAGTGCCCGCAGCAAAGTGGGGCAGGTTCTGCATCTCCACATTACGCAGCATCCTTAAAGGATATCTTGCTCTTAGTGCTGTTAGATTAAGGTAAAGACTTCATCTATTCTTTCAGTCTATTCTTTCTGCCCGCTTCATGTTTCCCATTCCTATAAAACTTTTGCCATCCTTGGAGTTCGTGAGGACAGTCGGACTGGGGCGCTGGGCAAGGACAAAATGCTTCAGGGCTTGGGTATGGCCTCTGCCGTGCCAACAGTATTAGTTGCTTTTCATCATAACCCAGAAGCTCCGGATACTCCTCTGCTTTCTGAGGAAAGGGGTGAGAGACTGCAAAGGGAGAGGAAGAGCTTGTGCTTCTTTTCTCTGGGGATGTTTTCTACTTGAGGGAGTGGATCTGTAATTTTAAGAAACTGCATTCCTGTATTTTGTCAAATCTTATTTGCTTGTGCTTTGCATGTGTCCATTAACACCATCTCTTATTCTTTCTGATGTGAAGATTACAATGATCCCTGCTACAGCAGGGCTCACTTAGAGAAGACCAGCATAATTTTAAATGAGCGTCCATGGAGAAAAATAGTTTCTTATATCTCAACTCAATCTTGCTTCAATGGTTAGACTCCCAGTGACTTAAAAGAGGGTAGGAGCAAGTGCTGATATTTCCAGAAGCTGTACTGCTTGACTGAGAGGAATCTTACTGTCTTCCTCTATCCAGGGGCACAATCTGCTCACCACTGCATAGCCCATTGGGCTTGTTCTTGACTTACATGAAAATAATCCAAATAATAGAAATTTGCTGAGAATACATTCCTGTAAAAGGCTAATTTCTCTCTTTCCATTTTAGCTAACAATCAGCATTACTCTGGCAAGCTGTGAATTGGTTTCCCACAGCACAGAGGGAAAAAAAAAAAGTGTTGTGAAGTCCTTTTGAAATATGGGAGTTGAAAGATGCTAACAAAACTGAGCAACCAATTACACTTTATGGAATTTATTCTCCCTTCAATAGTCATGTGTTACTGCCAATAAAATTAATGGGATTTATGTGCATACGCTGATGAAAGAATATACATGAATAGTTTATATTTCACTGTATTGAAATAATAGATCTCTAATTTTTCTCATTGACTGAAAATAGCAACTATAAAGACAAGATTTTTTTTAATATTAATACTATGAGCACATCTGTGAATTTTATTATCAACTAAATGACCATGGAGAATGACAGCTTTTACATTTTAGGAACTGGCAATATTCCTTTTTTTTTTTTTTTTTGGCCTTAAGATAGAATAAAACTGCAATTAACAATGTTAAACCGACCTAAACATCCCTTTAAAATGTGTACTGTGCAATAGAAATGTGGTACCCTAGCTGATCAAGGATTGTAAAGTCCTGAGACTCTGTCTTAAGAGTTTTTATGTACATTCTTTATTTATGATGTACATAAAAAAGTTATAGTAGCTAAGGTTTTTAAAAGTTATAGTAGCTAAGGACGCCCGCAGAGTAGAAACATTTCTCTTTTGCAAAAAGCATGATGCTAGTGTTTATCTGTTTCAAAATGCTTGCAAGTACAGGAGCAGTTGTTGTAGTCCATAAGATGATTACCTTGGCTTCTTTTTCAGCTTTTTGCAAATCAGTTCAATAAATTTATTATTTACGTGTGTTATTTTCCTAAGTGAACATATCTTCTCTTCCTCCACCTGTGGTTTTGTAGTATGCTAACATCAGCCTTTCCATTTTGAAGGCTTGCGTGGACAAGAGCTGATAGTGGGATATAATGAGTCTGAACTACGTTTCCCTACTCTTCAGAAGAGAACAAAGCAATTCTATTTCATCATGCTGTAGAGGTTGCAGAGCTCAACTCTTGTTTATATTACAACAGTATAAACGAAAAAGTAATAAGTGAAAACAAAATGTGTCCATATGAAGCGAGGGTAGTGGAGATAGAGTCTTTGCTGTTTTATGTAGTAGAATAATGGAAAAGAGCGAGATTCATTGCAACCACACAGTAAGATCTGGTTTGTCATTTAAGATTATTGCTTTCAATTACTTTCAATTAACAAAAACAATACTGTACAGCTTTCCTTTCTCCTTGTGATAAACAAGGAGAAAGCATTTTTATCCCTTTGGCTCATTCCATTCCAGAGAAGAAGCTGTACAAGAATAATACCAAGAATTCATTATTTGGTTTAAACGCTGAGATGGATAATGGGAATAGTTATTTCATTAAGGGTTTTCCATTCTTTTTATCTTTACTTAAACTTTGTAATTTTCTGAAATATTGTATTTCTTTCCTTAAAAAAGCCTGTGCTTATTTTTATCTTTTGTGCTTATTTTTCTTTTTCCTCTCATCTTTCTGTTTGCATCATTCCTCTCCTCCAAAAAATGATTAAATTGATGATTATCCTGATCATCTAGGGGTGCCACAACAGTGATAAACTCTTTCTTCCTACAGCTGCCCGGATTAAAGCAGTAATTCTGTGTCAATCCCATTACCTGAGATGCACAGAGAAGAAAGTTACTCAAAGCTGAAATTGTGTATTTGTTAATGTGGTTTGGATACCAAGGTCGGCAGCAGCCTTTGCTCCTTGCATTATCATTTGGAGCCACCTGCAGGCAGAGAGCATATTTCTAGGAAGAAAAGAGTATTTCTGTCATATTTCTCGTTTGGGAGACTGGTGTGATTGGGAACAGGTGTACATTTAGGCACTTTATTCATAACCCTGTGATTTTGCATTATTTTTGTTTTTCATATGATTCACCCTCTGCCCGTTTAGGAATGAACCCAGTATCTATATCACTAGAAGAAAATCCTGGAAAAGAGGCTGTGATCTGCGAGAGCAAAGTCTGTTCACACAGGTGAGTGAAACCAGAGAAGAACCTAAGGTGAAAATCACTGCACTGCCACATGACTGAATAAAAGTACACAGGCAGAAATCCTTAAAAAAAGAAGGGGTGGTGTAAAATAACAAAAGTGTTCTTGTTCAGAGAAGAAGGAGAAGACAGATTTGAGGAGGTAATTTGCCAGGCCCACGACTTTGGTAGAAAACAGTAAATAATAATAACGATTTTTAAAAAGAGGCAGGGTGGGTACCCAGGCCTGTGATGATTTGGCATTCGGGAGGGTAAGAGAGATCTTGGCTTTGCTTGCTGTAAAGATGAGAAGAAGGACAGACTGCCCAGTACTTCCAAATGCCGAGTGAGGGCCTCAGCAGAACACTAACTCTCAGTTAATTTATTTGACAGCAGTGGTGCTGGCAACTTTGCCTATTTCGTGCTGCACTGATTCAAATTTTTTAGAACTTACTGAGGTTATAAACAACTTGGCCTGTTTCGTGCTTCAAATTTTCTTTCGTGATTCAAATTTTCTAGAACTTACTGAGGTTATAAACAACTTTCTGCTTTTACAACCCTTCTTTAAACTTTACTTTGACTATTCATGTTCATCAGTGTCCCCTTAACCCTCTTGAAGCTGAATGTGTGAAACAACATTAATTTCAAACTGAGATATATGACTTCAGTGAAATATAACAAGTACATTAATTTCCTATCAGTGAATTTAACTGTTTACCTACCCTTTTTTTTCTAATTACTTCCCAGTCTCATTAAGTTTTCTGAGTGCCTGTGTATCAAGTGCCTTTCTAAAGTACGTTCATATTATCTATTATGTTTCCTTCCAGCAGCTAAGTGTCTTGTTAAGTCCAATCAAAAGCCATTACAAAGCCATTTACAAATTTATTTATTTTTTAAGCACTGTACACTAATTCCTTCTAACTCTAGGCTTTATTCTCTGAGGGCAGCAGCATAAAAACTAGCAGAAGATCTGGACATTCCCCCATGGAGCCATGGAGGAGTTAACTTTTTATTTTGAAAATTTGGCATCCTGCACAGCAATTGTATTCCACTGATGTAAAAAGAAGAAAGTGATCTCTTTGCCCAAAATACATCCTGAAAATCAACAAAGACAATTATCCTGTCAGTATTTTTGTTCAGTCTAGAGGATTTTTCACTTGGTTTCTGAAATGATTTCATTTATCACCAATAATTTCTGCTTTTTTCATACATGAAGTGTATTCACTGAATGCAATTTGTAGTGTGTCTATAATTCATATGATATACTCACCATGAGGGGAGATTTATGCTTCTTGGGGATTTTTTTGTTACTGTGGTTTTTCTTTTTTTTTTTTTTTAGCTTTCTATGTTAGGATATTACTCTTGTGTATTCCAGTAATAAAGAGGATCTTCCTTGGAAGTGTATTTTCCCCAGGTAGAGGAAATCACTCGAGAGTCACTTATTCTATCCATCTGTCCCAGTTCCTGTAGTGTTGACTCATCCCTAGCCTCCCCATGGTTTGCCTGTTTCTTACAGGCCTTGCTGTAAAATACCCTCTGTTATCTTTTTCTCTGAGTGCTTATGTTTTGTTGCCATACTGTTTATTGTAGCTTGTCTTTCATGACCCTGGCTCTGACATTTTTAATCTATGAAATGGGAAGCTTTTATGGGGAGTACTCAGAGTTCTGAGGAGAAAGGAAAAGATGAAAATGACAAAGGGGATACACAAGACAAACTACACAGGGTGGATTGTGATTAGCAAATAGGCAAGGCAAGGGGTAAGGCAGAAGGAGTAGACAAAATTAATGAGTCTCTGAAAGAGCTCATAGATCCAACAGGTTCCCTGGTTTGTACCAGTGGAGCCTCCAGGGCCAAGAAGTGGAAAAGAGAGACATAAAAACCCGCTACTTTAGCAGGGATGATTTCTGGCCTGGGGTTTCTTCTGCAGGGTGGCCAAGATAAGCAGTGGGACCCAAAGTTTTTGTTTATGCATGTTCATTAGAAGAAACTCTTGCAGAATGCCTTCTCCACGTACTAATGGCCCTGCAATTTCAGCTGTTGCCTTGACCGAGGCGGTTACTCTGGATTTCCTCTCCAGAGTGCCTGGAATCAGGAGGCAGTTATGTGAAGATGTTTAGTTTGACAGCAGTCACAGAAGTTGAAGGAGCCCAAGCTTCCTCCGCGTGAGGCAGGTTGCAGCACGTTGTGTTCATCCTCACAGGGGTTCACTCTCAGCAGGCACCGCTCACGCCGGAGGACACAGCTCCCCAGTATAGTATCTAACGGTGGCAGATGAAAGTAAAAGCTGATGGTGTTATAGTCAGTTGTAGGTGGAAGATGCCAGAAACTCAGGGTTAGTGCTGCACAATGTAAAACAGGAATGCAGCCCGCTCCATGACGGGTCACAGCATCAGAAAGAGCAAGGCAAGGGTGTCAGCAGTAGAAGTAGGCAAAGTAATAGTTAAAAACAAGATGAACTGAGCCTGTTATGGGTAAATGTCTTATATTATATTCCTTTGGATCAATATTCATTCTTTAGCTGTCCTTGCTTCTTATTCTGCAAATTACCTAGCTAGAGGTAGCAGCTGTAAAGCACTGAAGCTAAATCACATAATAGCAATATGAGTGGGAAACTCAAAGAGGGCAGCAAGTAAAATGCAAGAGAATTAGGTTCTCCTCTATGAATTGCCTGACATGTGCCAAATGAGATGTAGTGCTGACATATAAAGTAATGCTCAATGAAAAGAACTGAAAGTACAGAATGAATAGAATTGAGCTACAACAGAAGGACTTTGAAGAAAAGACATTGAGGAGACAATGTTCCTCACGTGGAGAATGTTCAGACAATAAAGAAAAGCGATTTGAAAACTTAGGAATCCTGGAATGCAGAAGCCACATAGTGACCTTTAATGAAATGCTAAGGATGAAATGCTGTGTGTTTGAAGCTCAGCCATTAGGACTGGAAATAGTAAACAAAAGAGAGGGCCAGATTTTGAGCCTGATTTATAAATTATCAAGCCCTGACAGGCTGTCAAAGGAAGGTTGCTCAGGAGAAAATCGAAATACCCTAGTGCCTCTGGCTGGCAGAGAAAAAAAAATGGGGGAAGTTGTTTTACCTGTACCATGGAAGATTTACCATTCTCATCAGCCACTTTCTGTGGCAGCCTGTTTCTGTGACAGCAAGGACACAAGAGGTGTTCATCAGAGGTGGTAAAATTTCATATGTAAAGTCTCATTTTGGGGCTGTGATTCTTGCCATAGAGCTTAGATCTCATCATATCTGTGTTTTGCTTCAGCTGAAGGACATTGCTGGCCAGATGCAGCTGGTTGGCATCTGTCCAGCGTCAGACTGGGACAGACCCCTTGCACCACAGGCAGAATTCAGAACAGCAACTGAGGAGAGATCTGATCCCTGCAGGATTAGAAAAAACTCTTTGATTTCACTTTAGACTGAAGAGAGATCTGATCCCTCCTAAGTTTTTAGAAAAAACTCTTTGATTTCACTTTACCTGGCTTTCCACCTGTGTAACTCAGTTCAGTCTACAGAACTTGTTGTAAGGCCAGGCAGCTTTCTCCTGTCACGTTAGCGCTCAGTGTCCCGTGCTGTGAGGAACTGTTACCTTGTTTCACACAGCAGATGGTCTCCACACAGATGAGCTGCTTTGGTTATGCAGAATAACAAGGTGAGCCTAGGACCACGGCTGTCTCTCTTCCTTTGCAGGAATCCTGCCTAGATAAGCACGAGAATTTGCGTTCTCCTTACCTTTTTGGTCATTTCAAAGTTAGGAATTAAGTCTGCTTCAGTAGTCAATAGAGAGCTAAACACTTCTTGAGTGAGAGACATCCCATCCTAAGGTCTAATATTAATGGGTAGTACTTATCTTTTTCCATTATTTGTGAGAGGCACCCAGGAAACTGGCTTAAACGAAACACCTAATTTTTAGACTACAAAAGTGACGATGGTTATGAGCTGAGGATGCTAATGGCAAATATGTTGAATTCCCATAAACTGATCCTTAGCCTTCCTGAACTGAGAGAGGTTATCTGAAGATTCTTTTAAGAGGGATTACATCCAGGTAAAGGAGAAAGAGCTATTGCCATTTTTCTTGGAGAAACTACTGGACAAAGGAAAGGAAACTATACTTAGATAAGAAAAAACTACTACTTTAGCTCTGTTAGCAGAGCCCTGTTGGGTCTTCAAAGTTAATGGGGAGTGTCTGTACTAATATGAATTAAATTAGGCATTGTACATCATTGTACCTGCTGAGTTCATTAAAAATTATATGCAGAGTGGCACAGTGAGGCAGTCATAAATTCAACTGAAATTAACTATCTTAGCAAAAAATACAGAACAAAGAGTAACTTCCGTAATACTGTGTTGTAATGTTGTAAAATGGGCTACCAGTTACATCACAGTTATATCACAGTCAGTCTTGGTCATTACAGTTATATAGTTCCTTATTCCCCAATAATTTTATGTATAAAATTAAATTAGATCAGGCAATTATTAAATTCAAGACTAAAAGTACTCTAAAGTTGACAAAATCTAGGAAATACAATTTTGCAGAACTTCCTATTTCTGTTTTACCAAGCATCAGACACTGTGGATTCTGTATTTTGTATTGAAAGAAGCAGAATAAATGTCATTACTTGTCCTCAGTTTTGCAAGTTAATGTTTTGGCAGTCAAATTTTGTTAATTCTCTCCTTTCTCATGACAGGGTGAAAACCTACGACTGCGGGGAGAGAATTGCTGCCTGGTTATCTACGTTTCTTGGTCGTTCATGTCGCTTGATAAGGCAAAGTTCAGACATAAAAAACAATAAGCATCAGAAAAATACAAAAGGTACGTTGGCATTCTTAAAAATGAGTGTGATTCCTTAGTAAATACAAAATATCAGATTGTCTCATGGTCTTCATACTGAATACAAAATTCACTAGTAAAGAGTGAGGGAATCGTGTGATACTGATATACTAAGCTTCAAAAGGTACATTCAGAAGGTACCCAGATTGTTTTTAGATGCCCATTCATTTGTTAGACTTGGCAAAAGTGTACAGATATGCCAATATAGGCTTTTTTATATATAAAATATTACTGCCATAATACTCTCTGGAAATTCAGTGGTCATTTTGAGAAATGATCATGAAAAATCCATTAGCAGTGAATTTATTCTTGTACTGAAATTCATTATAAAAGGGAGCAAATTGAAAGAGCATGAAAAATCTGTAGATATTGCTCTTATAAATTATTTTACAGAATTGGTAAAATCTCATCTATATGTTTCTAAATGTATTACACCATTATGATTTACAAGTTTGAGAGGATTCTTGGAATCCCTCCTTACTGCCTGGAGCCCAGTGAAAACTCTTATAATGAAAATGAATAAGAGGTCACAGGAAAGATGAGGTGAAATTGCTACTATTATCTTCCTCATTTTTAACCATCATTTTATAATGTTGGATTGATTTTTTTTAAGGTCTGGCACCTGCTACAAGTATCTCGCTCTCTCTTGTGAATGAAGCACAGTACCTCCTAATAAATGTAGCAAGCATTTCATATTTGAAGGACGATATTTCTGCAAGGTAAGATCCTTCTCAAAGGAGACATTCTTCAAATGTCTCTCAGAAGTCTTGGATTCTAGATTTCTCTCATAAAGTACAAATATAATTGTTTTATTTTGAAGTGTTGAGATACTTACTTTTCAGTCTTCAACAAATATATGGGTACCAAACTGCTATAATTACTTATGCTTATATTACTTTCGAAAATTTGAGTTAAGTGTTTGAACATAGCCTGTGTGCCACTCATCTTGAGGAAGATATCAGTGCAATTCTTGTCAAATGATGTGCTGACAGGAGGCAATTAGGAATAAGCCAATTCTATTTGTAGGAGGAACAGGGATAATTACGTTTGCTCAACATAAATCATCTGTTAAGTGAAAATATAACATCTTGGTACTTACTGAAAGATTTCTCTCTTGTAGGAATGTCTGAGATTTAGGGTAGTCATTCACAACAGAAATATTATAAAACTATATTCAGGACTGTATGTATTTTCTTGCCACTTCCTTTGGTTATTTCTGTGTAGAATTTGACATTATTTGTCCAAAGCAGGAGATTCAAGAAGCAAAGGAAACATTGAACCAATCCAGAGTTTGAAGATAAGGAACCCAGTATTAACCACATTTTCATAAACTGACCACGGAGAGTTGCTGCTTCTTGCATATATCTGAGCCCAGCTTCTTTTCACTCAGATTTCACAAGAGATCCTTCCCTCTACATTGAAATTGCTGTTTTGAAGAGCAATATATGTGTGTTGCTGTAGGAGAATGCTCGGATTTTAAAACTGCTAACTTCATGGAGCTTCACTACAGAGCTCTGAAGCTTGCACTGCCGGAGGGTTTTCCTTCTTTAGCAGGAGATAATCAGGCAGCTTCAACATTTCCTGGCAGTGTCACCCACTGGACAAAAGCCTGGAGAGGGGAGGTTTGAACCAGCCCATCTCACAGCTGTTTTGAGCACCTTTCTCAGTGACAATTAGTGCTTTCTTTTGAGTCTTGACAGGGTGACTTACATCTTCTTGAGGGAGTAGTGTTGCAGAAGTAGGCTTTTCCATGGTAAGACCCAATGAGGAAGCTTCCCAGACCCAGGAATTGAGAGGATAGTGCAAAGGAAAAAAAAAATGCACCAGAGGGAGCAATAAATGAAGATGAAGAAGGACAGAGGGCTGGAGCTGGGAAGACACACAGTGGCAGATGATCCCCACGTTTGCAGCTCAGCTCTTGCAGCATGCCCCTCCAATACATCTGGACTAAGTCATCCCCCTTCTCCAAGAGAAATCCCAGATATGACTGAAGCTGCCAGGTTCCTGAGAAGCATCTTGCTTCCCAGTCTGCAGCACAGGTGGAAAACTCTCCCCTACTTTTCTCAGGATGGTGGGGGAAATGAATTCAACATCCTTCTGCATTGGTACTGCATCATTATATGCAGGCTTTCCAATTGCAGAACTGTGCAGTGTGCTGTGCAGTGTGTAGATTTAAAAATCTGCACATACAGGTCTTAATTAAATGCTTTTCTTTTTTAAGAAACACTATTTAGCTACTTTGCATATTCTTTTTTAATGGAAACCTGCTAAGATTTATGGAATGCTTTCAATCTTCAATTGAGTTTTAAAAGTTTCTTCTCATTTTTATCTTTCTTAAGTAAAAAGTAATCTTCCACTTTGCACTTGCTTCTTGAGAGGTGATCTAAAACAGTCACAGCATTTTAATTAAAATCTAGAATGTAACATACTATTCTAGAGTTACATGCTTAAGGAGACATCCATCTCTCTGGTGTTACTGCCACCAGTCACCTCTGAAAATCCTCATGGCCTGGCTTCATGCTCAAATGTTCTTGATAGAAATATGCCCCTGAAGATGCAAAAAATAATTTTCAGATTTGCCTGTTAAATATATGGAACACTTTCTGCCCAATGTACCCGGATGGGCTTTACCAAAATATGTTACTTTGCCTCACAAACACCTCTGCAGATTTGCAAGACGAAGGTGCCTGTCACTCCATCCAGCTGACACGAGTTCTGAGGGAGGGGAGGTGGTTCGTGGGCATGCACAGAGGCACAAGCGGTTCCAGGCAGTTCAAAGGGCCAGGACCAGGCCCAGCAGAAGGTGGGGTGTTCGGGAGAGCTTGGACGGATGGAAGGCAGAGACAGCAGGAGTGTGAGCACTGCTATCCTGGATAGCCACGATGGCAAGGGATGAAATTCCAGGAAGTGATTTTTTTCTGTAGCTTTTTAACAACTGGTTCAGGACGCTGCTAGCACAGTTGTGATGTTCCTGGAGCTTTTGATGCTCCCGCTGTGCCCCGGCTGTGGTGGCAGGCACTCCTGTGTCACAAAATGCATTCAAAGCTCTCTCTGCCTAGCAACAAACTTCTTTCTGTCAGGACTTAACGTAGTCCACAGCAAAACAAGGATGCAAAACAGTATAACTGAACTTGTTTATAACTAACTACTATTTTTCCCCCAATTTTTCAGAGAGCTAGCATAGCTACCTCCTCCTGTTGGCCTTCCATCTCCTACAGTGATTAGGAATTTTGTCTCAGTCATGAGATTGCTTGTGGTATCTCTAGGGAAAATTACTGCTGCTTAAGCTTACCACTCCACTCTCTACTCCCAGGCTCCTGTCAACAGCAAAAGCTTTAGAGGAATCGGGGTTGCATGGTTTGCTTGAAAATTTGCACATCCAGTTTGTCCCTATGCACATTTGTCTTTTGAAGATCTACCAGGCTATTTTAAACAAAACAAAGTTCTTCACATAACAGACCTCTTTTGTCAAGACTGCTTGATGTAGGCAGGTTTCCTTGTGCTTTGATTTTTCATGCTTTCCCTCATTTTATTTAAAATGCACTTTTAAACTGTTTGTCCTTAATACTTATTTTTTCCCCAGGATAGGAACTTCTCTTTTCACTAAATAGCCTTTTTTTAAAAAAAAAAAAAAAAAAAAGCTGTAGAGTGTGTCATATCTAGAAGTTCTTAAGCCAAAGCTGAAAGAACTTGGAAAACTGGTCATGTCCATGTTCTTACCCATTAACAAAGGCGCTGCTAGGATCTCCTTTGCAAACTTTAGGACTGTCCTATTTACAGCAGTAATAACGATTGTACCTTAGAAGAAGAGTAAGAGATGACAATTGAAAGGAGCAGCCAACTTTCTGCTATTAGTATGCAGTGTGCCTTTCTGGCTCCCTCATCTATGTTCTCAGTATTCACACAAATCTACACTCTGGCAGTTCAAGTGCTTGCAAGGAGGTGTAGATGTCTCCACACAGAGATTAATTTTTTTCAAAACACCTGTCATTTGCTGAAATCTCCTTCATCCCAAGGGCAAATGATAATACAAGGAATACATTCTCTCACAAAATGTCTTTACTGGCCTGTTTCACCTTCAGTATCTGCTGTGCATTTTGCTACAGCAGCGCGTGCAGAGTATGTTTTATTTGTTTTCGTTTTAGAAACATTTAAGTGGTTCTAAAAGTCCAACGATTGCTTAACCAAAAGATCTTTCTATTTAGGCCTTACACATGATATCTAACACAGAAATATTCCCATTGTTTACAATTAAAACCCCACATGCTTTCATGCCTACGTTTCCATTCTTGGTTGCTTCTCTGAAGAAGCCACCTAGAGTACTGCAAGCCAAAATCAGACCCCTTGTGTCTTTTTCGTAGCTTTTGTATTAAAATTTGGTCTCAGGTCTTCTGGAGAAGCATTTGCTGAATCAAAATAGCCACTAGATTCTAGATTTCCAGCACAAATATCTACTAGAAAACTAGTGAATATAAAGCTTATCTTCTTTTTAATAAAGCTTTATCTTTGTTTGTTTTTTTTTTAATAAAGCGTATCTTTTTTTTTCCTCTGAAATCTGTGACACAGACTGGAAGAACCATTGGAAATACAGGAATTAATCCCACGCTTCCGTGCTAACCTTGTCATCAGTGCTCCGGAGTCCTTTGAAGAAGAAGAATGGGCTGAGATTTCAATAGGTTCTCTGCGATTTCAGGTATAGACTCATCTTCTTGTCCTTTACTATCAAGAAGCATTTTGACTCCTGGAAACAAAGCGTTTTTTTGCAAAGCTTTATCTAGGACATGGACAGCACAGTTAAAAAGATGAAGTTTATGAAATGTGTTAAAAAAAAGTATTGTGACCAAGCATTTTTTAGTGTAATTGAGAGATTTGGACATATTCTTCTCCCACTTTTTTTGTTTTGGTTTGGTTTTTAATTTCACAATTCACATAGCATTTCCTAACTTTATTGAAAAAGGGGAAGATTCATCACTGATTTTGATCAGAGTTTATAGCAAATATTTAGTCAGCATATGTTGTGAGAGAATAGTGGTTGCTGCTAAGCATGGCAGTCTCAGTTAACTGCACATGTGACAAACTGTCCAGGAGTTGGGAAATAAATACAAGTGAAGGATCAATGTGTATTACCCTGTGTTATATGTTTTCGCTTAATCTCCATCCAAGATGTGTTTCTGGGTCAAACTGACCTTGGTCTTACTTGGTAGAGCTTTTTTGAATGTTATGGTGCTGCATTTCATTTCTAACACTATAATATGCTTTATGCTGTCATGAAATGCTATAGAGTCAGTCTTTGCTGCCAAAGTAATTCTTTTGGGGAGAACCCGCATGGGAAAACCTGTCCATGAAAGAGCTGTGCATGAAACCTAAGGGAGTTAGAGTCCAATTTGTTTTTCTGGTCCTTTGGTGTGACTTTCAAATGTATTTGCAAGTGCATTGCCTGGGATGTAAAAGTGACTTATTCATTGTTTGCTTAGGGGTGATAATGAAGGTGGGAATGATACAAGTGCTAAGATCTAGAAGCTGTGATAGAAATCCCTCTCACTTCTTTCAGATCAGCATACTGTAAGATATGGCAAGGGTATTTTTTCAGTAAGGATGGAAAATATTACTTGTTTTTTTTTTTCTTTTCTTAGCATGTACTTTGGTAAGCAAGCTGTAATCTGAGACAGAGAATTGAGGAGAATTGTCGTTGGTTAGGAGGTGAGGAACACAAGGGATAACATCCATGGCATTAGATTGTTGAAGGCTGGAGTCACGCTAAGGAAATCAGCTCAGGCACCTCTTGTGGAAGGTTCTGTAAAACTGCAGATAAAACATTCCCAGTTCTGGCACTGGAATATTTTAGGAGTGCAAGCCTAAAAAGGAAAAAAGCTTATGCAACTTGGTTTGTCTTTCTGAGTCTTCACTAGGTCCTTATGGTGATACTGAGGTGGTAAGAGTATAAATGGTGTTAATGGTGCTTGATGCTAATAAAGTGGTAGAAGAAGCTGTTGAACTGTTACAAAGCAAGGCAAGGAAAAATATGGAGTTTTCTAGCCTGTGTTCTTTTTCTTCTAATGTTAAAGCTGTGGGAAATCATCTTCTGAAAAAGCAGAGCCAAATGTGTGGTTTTGATGATTACACTGAAGAGTTTTATATGCAGTTCTAAATGTACCTTAAAGAACCGAATGGCACTTCAGATCTGCATATGAAAATATTTGCAGTGTGAGTTTTAATTATTTCCCCTCTTGAACTTTATGACTAATTTTACAAAAGCAGAATGTGTAAGCTGAGATACTGTGAAAGAAGTTAGTTTTTATAATGTAGAGTTCTGCAAAAGTTAGGGATGCAATATTAAGTAAAATGAGAATACGTCTTCCTTCTTCATTTTAATACTAGAGTAGATAAGAAGAAACTCATTGCAGTTTTTATTCCTACCAAAAAAAAATAGTTCAAGCAAGAATTAATTTTAGGGAACCATGCTCTGTATCACACACTGACTAGAAAATCAAGTCATTCCTCCTGACTTACTTAGGAACCTGTGAAAATTCAGATTTTATATTCTGATCATTTAGAAAGTACCATGAAAATCAGAAAGAATGTGGGGTGTTATGCATATTTCAACTGCACTGAAGCAATGTAAACCAAACTGTGTTAGTTTAACTCCAGGAGAATCCTCCTTTGGTCAAATCCTGAGCACTTGGCTTAATTTTACACTTATTTCTCCTTTGGGCAAATATCCCTGCCAGTCAATAGATGAAGTGAAACCAGCAGGAAATATAAATGTGTATGTTTTTGGTTATTTCTCAGATTCTGTTTGTAGGAAGTTTTTCAAGGGAAGAAAAGGGAAAAGGGATGAATTAAAAATTGCGTGAGGACATCTCAAAAGGAGTCTTTGAAAATGTACCTACATTAGATTAACAAGAATCACCTCTTACATAACTAAAGCACAAAATAACAAATGCAAACAATGCAAAAGTGTATGAAAGATATGTTCTTTAGGTTATTTTGTCGGTCAGAAGCTTGTACTGTTCTGTATTGCCCTGCTGTGATATATTTCTGTGATCCTTCTTTAATTGAAATTTCAGGTTGTGGGCCCGTGTAACAGATGTCAGATAATCTGCATTGATCAACAGACTGCAGAACGAAACAATGAATTTCTGCAGTCTCTGTCTGCAGCGAGGGCCAGAAAGGTCAGTGAGACACTCCAGAGCAGCCGTACAGGAAGAGCTCATGACTTCACTGCATGCATATGGAAAGGCCTACTAATAAAATGTTCACTATTAAGTTCTTACGCTAATTATTACCATTGTTCTTTCAGTTAAAAGAGGATACACTTACAACCAGATATGACATGCTTTCTCTCTATAAAATGCTCAACACATTTTTGATTATTTTTTCTATATTTGCTAGATTATTTTTTCTATATTTGCTTTTATTCTGTACCTACTACTTTACAGTGTGTTTCTTTTGGTCTTGAAGAATACAGGCTGATATGGTGAGATATTTTAAGAGAAATCAAAATGTGCTTGCAACTACAGTCAGCTTGTAGTTAATTGTACTTGCTTAAACTTGCTTAAAGATTGCTCAAACCTTACTGAAAGTTTTAATCTCTGAGAAAATACTTAGCAGGAAACACAGAGTAGACATGAATATAGTCAAGGAGAAAATTAATCCATTAGGAAAAGAACTGGCTGGGAAGTATAAGTGTGCTTTAGGAGTCATTCTGCATCCTATGGTTGCATTATTTCTTGGAATTGAGAGTGTTAGGACAATGGTAGCATCCCAAAAGTTTCTCAAATCTCCCTATTAAATGCTTATTCTGAGTTCAATGCTTACTGCTCGTTCAGCTTCTGTTGTAAAATTCAGTCATCTAGACCAGGCTTGGAAGCCTCGAGCTGTAGGTCAGCAGCCAAAGAACGGCAGAACACCCTAGGTTAGACCCAGCACAGAGGCAAAGCAATAACAAGCAGGTTGATACTACTCACCCAAACAATGTACAGAACATCACAAATAATGCGTTCTCTGTTTAAAGGAATTGATCGCTCTCGGTGACTCATGAAGCAAACAAAGAGCTACATGTTCAGTGAACATTATCCTCGGTGAGGGGCCGCGCCAGCCCCGACACGGAGCCAGCTGCCTGGTGCAGGGCGGGAGGCCTGTGAGGAGGCAGCCCGCAGGGCCAACTGCCTAGGCCCGCCTTCCCGCTGGCCTCGGGGACCCGGCGGGGCCTGCAGGCTCTGGTGGTGGGCAGAGGTTGGCAGTCTGTGTGTCCCTGTGAGAGGAGCTCCCCGCCACCCTGGGCACAGGAGCCCTGCCGAGCTCGTGGTGAGCTAGAGCTGGCACCCTGGGTCACTTAATGGTGCTCTGTGGCGCTCTGGTAGGGATGCTGGCCAACTACCAAGCAGATTGCAGTGTGGGGAGGGCTTTCCCTCTACCCACACTGGATTTATAAGCCTCTGGAGAGGAAAAGCTGTCGGTGTTCAGGGACCTTCTCAGGTGTCAAGGAAACCTTCTCTGGCATACAGATTCTCAGGAAAGGCAAAGCACCTTCTGCGTGTTTCCCACAACAGAGATGAGCTTATTTTTGATTAACTCAGCAATGCAAAGATTTTCCGTACAAACACTCCTAGAAGCAACTCTTTCACACACAATGAAGGCAAAGAGAGCAATCCAGCCTCTGGAGAACCTGGCATCAGATGAAAGGCGCATGGCAAGGCAAGGCTGTGCAGAGCACAGAGCTGCTATTCAGAGCAGGGGAGTGTGTTGCTTCCCTCAGCCATGCAACCACGTTCATGCTGCAGAGAACTGGGCCTGCAGCTTTCTGATTTTTCTCAACCTTCTGCACAGGTTTTTCTCAACTTTAGCAGTTGAGCTGAACTGAGGTCTAAGAAGATCTCATAGTCCAGTCCTCGTGTGAGTGGTCTCTAAGTTGATGGTCTCCAGCTGGTTATCAGTGAGTAGCAGCTGAGCACTATGATACCTTGAGAGTGTTAAGCAGTCTTGGCAGAGGACACCTACTAGATATCATCTTCCTTTTTATCAAATCCCATGAAGCAGTTCAGCAGTGTTTATTCACAGATGTCAATAAGACAGTTACAACAAACAAACACGCAGCAACAGGGCTTAAGTTAATTTCCAGATAAAAGGGGAGCTGATACTTTTGGAAGGATGTGGTAGTTGCCTGATTTTCAGATCGTTAAAGACACTGTATGTGTGATTGGATAGCAAATCCCTCCTGCTTAATACGGCAGCCAGGTGTCAATACTTACCGATTGGTTTTCTTTTTCCAAGAAGAATGCCAATCAAGAGGAATGCATCAAGCTTGATCGAATGGTAGCCCAACGCAAAGAATTTCAATGCTGAGCTGGATGAAGTATGGCATGTAAAACGTGGCTCAATATTCATTTCTGAAATTACATTTTCCTATGTTCCTCAGAGACTGTGAGAACCTCATGTTCCAGGTTGAAAAAGTGAGGCTTTGCATACATGGATTGCTGCTGGAAGTGAGAACCAGCCTTTGTAATGAGCCTCACAAGCAATTTGCGTGTTTCCTCATAAATGTAATGCAGGATGATGAAACCTAGCCAGGCTTGTTTTATGAAAACCTTTTATCACCTGGTTGGGATTAAAATGCAAACACTGCTACCAGGCAATTCTGAGCTCTACTGCTACCAGTTCAGAAGAAGCCCTCTTTCCCAATTCCTTCTCTGATTTTTGACTGAGAAGGAAAAGTGAGCTCCCCCTCTGAGACAGAGCTCTTTGTATTGCTGCAGAAGACTAGGAAAGACTAGGAAACTGTATTAAGGCAGTAACATAAATCTACCAACACCGTGATTCACCTGTGTCACCGCCTGATGCAAAACACACATGGACAGACAAAAGGGAACACTGAATTCTTGACATCTTCTGTGTTTTGCAAATGCAGTTTAAGACCTATTCCAGGAACCCTTTAGGCATATTTGCATTTGGGTAACAGTGCATCAAATCCACTATGTCTGCACATGCCCTCCTACACTGAAGGGCTTGTGTTTTTTTCCCAAGAGCTGCTGATCCTCCTTTATGTATCTCACTGTTCCTGTTCCTGCAGAGTTAGACACCATGCATTTGGACAGCTTTCAGAAACATTAATAAGGATAGCAAATGACTCCTCTTATCTGATGCATTATTATCATCATTTTCATAGTAATGCAAGGCTTTACACTATGCAGTGCTTTTCATCTCGTTATCTGGAAACATTTGCAAACAGTGATTGATGTAATTAATAGACTCCTGTGAATAACATGGTTTTCTTTTCTGCTTTGTGCCCGAATTGGGAAATGCATTTGTTTAAGGTGGATAGCAAAAGAAAATCGCTTCTTAACAACTTCTGTTGTATTATTTTCAACAAAATGAGTCTTCTTTGACACCAAATTTAAAGTTTCCTCTATTTTTTCCAACATGAAAAATCAGTCTGTGAAAAATGAATGCTTTAATGGTCCAATGTTTTAATGCTTTACAATTAGGTTTTGGTCCATCCAGAGCTAATAGAAAAATCTTCTATTAAAATAAAAACCTTTGCATGGGAGGGAGGCTATAGTACTGTATGAATAAAACAAGCAGAAAAGAACAGCTAATTCATCTGTTGATGGAAGGCAGCTGTGAGCTGCATCCAGAAGCCAAATGCAGAGGCCGTTAGTGGGCAAGTAAGTTTTATTTAGCATGCTCGCTCACTCCAAAACCTTCATAGAATCATAGAATCATAGAATGCTTAGGGCTGGAAGGGACCTCTAGAGAGGTTGGAAGGGACCTTCTAGAAGATCTTTTGCCCTACAAGTGCAATTAGCTGGTTGTTCATCTGCTTTAGCTCCAACGCATCTCATCTCAGCCTGTCAGACACAGCACTTCAGGAAACTTGCATCCAGGAAACTTACTGTTAGCAGATAACTAAGCATCACATATTGATTCAGTAAATGTGCTTTCATCCTTTAAGTGAGCGTGATTCCCCGTTGGGCAAGAATAAGTATGTTTTACTTAGTATTCTACTTAATTATGCCAGCAATTACTATTTTGTGCTTTTACAATCAAGAAGCTTTCTGATTTTGTCCCTGTAAAAGTTCAGAAGCGATAGGAAGAGCTCTTACTGATCTGGGAAGACTGAGGGGATAAAGCTGAAGAAGTCACAGTCCTGCTCTCTGCTCGCTTCTGGGTTTGTTCTGGTGAGGTTACACACAGGACTAAATGCTCTTGAACTCAGGAAGGGTAGTAAGAGCAGAGAGAGTTTATGCAGTTCATTGTAACAATTCTGCAGGCTGTAACTTCCATCATTTCTACCAGTGAAATGTGAGAAGGGACAATTTCTGCTTTCTGCCTTTCTTTGGAACCAAAACTGGACTTGTGGGATAGACATGTTTTGCTTTTCTTGTCATTATCTGTATTTGCTTAGCCAATATTTGTAATTCTTAAAAAAAAAATCAAGGAATTTACTTAAAAGATATTAAATCCAATTAAATCCTAAGAGCATTCACAAAAAGGAAGATCTCAGAAATGAGAATGATCTCACAGGAGAAGAGTCATCCAAATAGGTGTTAATACATATATTGTGTATATGCACATTAATAGATGTACCATTACTTGGAAAGCTCCTTAGGCATCTATTCTCAGAGCACCAAATAATATGAAATTTTAGATACCCAATCAAAATAGGAAAATATTGATGGCAATAATTAGAAAAGTATTCAAGGACTCCCCAGATAAGATATATTCCCATATGTCTTTTCTTAAATAGCTTTGAATGGTTTAAAATACTTTAAAAACAAAATCTGTTTAAATTATCCAGAATAACAGAAAACAGGTCAAATAAATTGTTCGTTGTGAACAGGTTATTTTGGCCATGTTTTAAAATAAGTCAACCTGTCGATAAAGTAACATACATTGCAATTTTTGACATAAGTTCATTTATACTGATGAGTTATAAAATCCCTTCCAGTGTGAAATATGGTATACTATGGACTAATATTTTATTCATTTTACAGTATTTAGTTTCCAATTGCCTCATTTTTTAAAGCAATAGAATTAAGGCTAGTGTCATTGCATTGAAGTACAGGAAGTGAATCTAGGATATTAACCACAATGTAGTCTGATGTAGTCAGATTACTGCGTCATTTCTAAAAAGAAAGAAACCACAGCTTCTTACCAAATTTGGGGAAAAAAACAAGGTAATATTATATACTTTAATATTTAAAAAAAATAGTTACTGACTTTTCCATTTTGTCCTTACGATTGATCCAACACAATCGCTCCAGAATAGTAGTTTTGTATTGTGCTCATACAGTGTACTGACAGTGTGCAGTCATTTCTTTAGCATTAAATACCAGGACACTGAGCGTAAAGGCCTACTTTACGTCTGCCAGTGTTGACACTGTTGTGATCACAGGTATCCAAAAATGTCAATAATAGAATTGACCTGATGAGGCCCGACACAAGCAACGTGTTGTTACATCTCTGCCTTGCAGTGTCTCTCTTACTTGAGAGTAGGTCTCAGCTTTCTACCTTGCTGTTTCATCAGAGACTTAAAGATGTTCTTCGTTACCTCATTACTGTGTTTTATTTACTTAGTGCAAGAATGGAGAAAACTTAAAGCTTCATATTAAGACTGTCAAATATATTTCCTTAAATTTAGCTAGTAAATGGTGAAGATTTTATTATTATTTATTGCAGTTCACACAGATTCACAGAATCCCAGAAGGGCTGAGGTTGGAAGGGGCCTCTAGAGATCATCTAGTCCAACCCCCCTGCTCCAGCAGGGACACCTAGAGCACGTGGCACAGGGTGGCATCCAGGCGGGTTTTGAAGATCTCCAGAGAAGGAGACTCCACAACCTCTCTGGGCAGCCTGTTCCAGGGCTCTGTCACTCTCACAGTTCCCTTCACCTAGTATATATTTTGCTAAACCTTCTGTAGTTGCAGTTCCCTCTATTTCAGGAATATCTATCTGAACAACGATGGTAAATTTCATCAGGAAATGGAGAAGGAGAATAGAGTTTCATTTTAAAATGATCTTTTTTCATAGATACACCGAATCAATTTCATTTGCTATTTTGCTTATTTTATACTTTAAGTTACTCGCAACCAAACTCATTGGCTGTAGTGTGCTAAAAGCAAATAGTTTTTACTGAAAGCTTTAAAAGTTGATAAGAAAATTTGCATTGGGTTTCCAGGTTCCTCAGTTTGAGGAACAAAGACATTCTGAGGTCCACAATTCAATTACCCATGTAACACAGTCTTAATCATTCCTTGATTTCTTCCCTGACATGTTTCTTTAATTAACTGCTTGCTAATTGTTGGGGAAGTAGTGCCCTGAGATGGCAATGCTGTTTCTTCCTCCTGAAGTTTCCTACTGTTGAAAAACAAAAGCATGTTGTGTAAAATATGTTCTTAGTCCCCTAATGTGACGTTTCCACGCTACGCTCAGCTCTTTACAGCTTTAACTGGAGTGTCTTGTGTGCTTGAAATTAAGACTGCATGTTAGGGTTTTATCTGAGTGCAGACATATCAGACTAATTTTTGAGTGCCTAGGAGGATTGTTTGATCAGTAGGTGAAGTAGTTGCCCTGTTTCTTTTTTCTTTATCAGTCAGTATCACAAGGGCACATATATAAATATCTGTAGTCTTTATGTACGATGGCTTTAGTGCTAATGAGAGATAACAAGTGATAGTCCTAATAAAACAGACTTTCTGAATATTTTCTGCAAAATATACTAAAATATTCAGGAAAAAAAAGAAACAAAGGGAACATTCAGAAAGGCTGAACAAGGCAAAGTGCTGTTAATAAAGCAAAGAATGTGCGTTAGAGACTTTTCCTCACTGTTTCAACATATATTCTTTCTCAAACTGCCCAGCCTTTATTTGTGAAAAGGTATTAACTGTATTTGTCAATAAAAACCAGAGCAGTCATTAAGTAACGAGGCTGTGAGGGAGTATAAATTATACACATAATTTATATGTATATAATGCTACGGAACTCATGATGAAATATTACCTTCTTTATCTAGTTACTTAAGGTGTTCTTCCTGAATAGCATGGGGTTGGCTCTTGTTTATTTGTCTGTTAGAATTAATCAGTTAAAGTGTTCTTAATTACTTGGAGATCAGGCATATATCCCTGTCTCCGAAGCAGTATTGTTTTCCTGAACGCATCTGGGTTGTGAGCTCCTTTGTAGGTCTGATTACTGTGACATGAGTTGCATCTTAATTAATATTTTGCCTCTTTTCAGACAAACTTTGGTATATACCTGATGAACCAGCCCTTGTGCTCATCCTTTCCAGATATTTTATCTGTTGGATCTCAAGTTCTTCCAGTGTTGAAGGAGAATCCTGAAATACAGCCACCATCATCCAGTGAAGAAAAATGTTCAGGATAATCTTATCTGGCGGAGGTGAACTTTACAGCAATACTAGGGAAAAATCAGTAGTCAGTTATTTTGAAAAAAGAAAAGAAAAAAAAAAGAAAACCCTTCCACTGATTTCCTTCTGGGTTGAGTCTTTTAATTTTCTGTTTGTTGTAAATGTTATCAGATGGCGGTACCCTTGATAGTTACGCCTCGCCTACATGTTTTCTGTGATTAACTTACAGCAACCGTAACTCTTTTTTGCTCAATTGCTTCAGGATGCAGCAGGTTAGATCCAGTTTCACTGGAGGGTGGAGGACTCCCAGAACAAGCCCAGTGCTGTTGTCAGAAACCCACATCTCAGTGATGGAGAATCAACACGGCAATACGCTACTTCCTTACGCTGTCTGGTTCAAACCACTCTGGGGGGAGAGGATGCAGGCCTTGCTTTCGAAACGCTGTGGGTGGGAGGAGAGGGAACAGTCTAAGGACATAAGGGTAGCAATTCCTTCAGCTTTCAAAAATTAAATTGAAGGTAGAGATAGTCAGAAAGCACAGGGGAAGAGGAAACTGCGATTGGGAACTCGGGATCCACCCTCCTGGAAAGGGGGGGGGTGGTGAGGATGGCAAAAAGGTACAAAGATCCGTGAAGATTTTGTATGCCATTTGCAAAGCACCCTTTGCTTGTGAAGTAATTTTGTGCATTTGTTCTGGTCTTCTTTTTTTTTCTTTTTCCCCCTCATTTGCCATTTCCATCTGTTTGGGTTTTTTGTTTGTTTGATTGTTTTAAACAAGTCCCACAGAATTGTTTGCTTGCTTATTTGTGGATGTTAGTACTTTTTTTTTTTCCTATTTAGAGATCTCTTAACTAATATGACCTCATTTCAGTAAAACCTTTGTGTATCCTCAGCAGTCTCCAGTGGCCAAGATATTGAGACAGCCACTGAACTTCTGAAAGTTTCAGTGCTTCTCCCTCCCAAATAGGTCAAAATACTTTTTTTTTCCCTCCTCTTCATGACAGTTTTTGAGCATATGATATTGTCATTCTTACAAGATATTTGGTTGCCCTTCTCCCCTAAACCAGACTCATGCTTTTTGAAATCTGGGAGCAAGTGTCTGGGTGAGTGTCTTAGCCTGGACTGACCCATACAGAGAAAAACCAACATACACATGAAACCAAGCCATACACACACAAAAAAGAAAGAAAGTTAGTGCAGTGCAAGACTGAGGCCAGGTTTTTCCTGACCCCCAACATATGTCCAGCTAGGTGCTGGGCAATTTCATGCTTTCAGGAAGTCCTTCTGTTGATCTAGCTGGTTGCTGTATTGCCGCTTGGCAAGTGAAGTTTTGGCCCACTAAGAGCACTGTCTGAACTCTCATCCGGCGTGATTTAAGTCTTCCTTGGGGCAGTTTTGGATCAAACTGTGTGAAAGTGCCTGTGGCTGAAGCAATCCTCAAGTTGTTCGTGTTTGGAGTGTAGTCCTGAAGAGGAATGGGCAGCTTTCTGACAGAATTGGTCAAACAGTAGTTGTGAAAAGGGAATGATTACCACAGAGTAAGGCACAGTGGGCAAAGGGGAGGGCATCACCCAGCGTGGGAATCCAAACTCAGAAAATGTTTTCTTTTTTCTTTTCTTTCTTTTTTCTTTCCCGCTTGCTGCAGCAGACTGCTATTAGTCTCTCAACAGAGCTTTGTAATGGAAATGAGGAGAGACGTTATCTCTTTCTTACAACCTGCCATAAAACATGTTGAAAGAGAGACATGTTTTACGTGTATGTAAACTGAGGATTGGTTTTGAAAGCTGCATATTCCATTTCTGAACCCAAGCACTGCTCCTTGATGTTTGCTTTAAAAACCTGGGTTTTATCTGTCTGGTAGTTAATTATCTGATGTTGTAATGAGCAGGCTTTTTGCAACCTTGAAAAGCAGTTTCCTGGTATCTAAATCTCTTAACTGCTTCGCTCTTTGCCGTTCTGGTAGGCAGAATTTTGTTTTGTTGGATAGAAAGCTAGCATAGCTCTGGCACATTTAATATGAAGAAACCTCCTGTATTCTGACCTTCAGGTGATCTCCGGTGCTTTGTTCTGTCCTCTTCACCTCACCCGTACGTCATTTGTTTAAAATGGCACAGAAGTTAGAAGAGGAAATTGAAAGCAAACCTCAGCAAGCTCTGTTTCACTTGTTATTGTTACACTACAAAATAAGTCACTTCTTTGGTACACAGTGGCTTTGACAGATTCTGTTTTTGAGTAGCCTTAATGCAATGTATGATAACTAAGGATGGGAGGATTTGAACTTTAAAAATGCCGTGCTTGGTCATTTTGACATGTTATTTACAAGCAGTTACTCTTTCTCCTACAGACAAGTTGTATTGGAACAAGAATAATTTTATCATTTTACAGGGGAAAGAAAATCTGTCTGGTATATGAACATTTTCATTAGTGTATTCTGTGCCTTTGCCAGAAAGAATATTTTTGCGCTATAGCGATGCGAAATGTCACAATGCTTCAAATTGATGGAAGGGACATCAAGAATCTTTCATCTCAGCAAAAGACAATATTTCCGTTCTAGTAAGTGGAGTGTCCTCACTGGTGTTCAGGTGTTGTCTCCCCATCAGTAAAGACAAGTTCTTCTGAGTACCAATACTCTGCGGAAACTCTTGCAGTAAGAAGACTCACTTTTAAATGATGTGCCTGTAAGTTTTGTAGAAGGAGCATCACTTCCATAATGTGAAAAAATTTGAAGGAGAACATATTGGAAGAAGGAAAAGAGCGAAACACTTCAGAACACGTTATTACATTAATATGTAATATTTAATGATTAATTGAGATTAATGAGATTAAGTGTTCTTTAAGTAGGTCACTTCTCAATGTTTAGAGTACAGAAAAAAAGACAATTTCATAGGAATGCAGACACTTTCCTGTTGCTGCAAACTTAAATCTTTGGACTAATGGCATATATATATGTTTATCCTCTATGGGTAAGAAAAGTACTTAATGCAGGTTTGCCACAATACTATATATAGAAAGTCCTCTAGATATTTGAAAGCTAAGTCTATATTTCCTTAAAATAAATTATTCAGACACATTCCATTTCTGTGGGACTTAACTCCTTCTCAGATCTCAAGGCAAAAATGATGATTATTGCAAGCTCTAATCATAGCCACAAGGCTGAAATCACAGAACAGAAATCAGTATTTTCAGGAGAAGCCTCTGAATTCTGTGTTCTCTAATATCACTAATATATTTCAGATGCAGTTTATGTTTTATTTGTTTTCAATGGCATCCTTCTAAATATGGTCAAAATAATAGGTCACCCTTCCATCAAAATTATATACAAAGCGAAGGAAGGACTGCTTAAGGGGCTTGATTGCTGTTTGTAAGCTATTAAGATTATGCTCTGCATTTTTCCTCTGGTCTGTTTTTTAACTCTCTTAGAAATGAGATCAATAAAATGTATATTGTGCTTGGCGTGTCTACTGGTGGTGTTTGCGTTCTTGACTCGTGAGTTCATGAGGCGCCCTGAGGTTCTGCTTCTGGGCACTGGGGACTCATGCAGTGAGTATGTGACTCGGTGCTGCTCAGATACCTCATGGTTTACAAGGTTCACAGGTGAGGTGTTAACACCAGCCATTGCACTCTCTAGTCAGCATGCCAACCAGTTGGATGTTCTCATTAGGCCTTGCATAAAATCTACTCATAACCACTAGTTTCCTTTAAAATAGGTCCATAGATAAATGTGTGGGACCCATCTTTATCATCCCAAAGATTTAGTGGTCAGAATCCTACCAAGGCTGCTGGAGAAGGGTAGTTACACTTCCCTCATTGGCCTGGAGGGATTCAACATTGTCTTTCCCCACTGCTTAACCACCAGTCAATAGGCAAGACTGAGGACTTAAGAGTACTGGGTGTGTGTGGAAATTATAGGTGAAATCTTGTCACTCCCATTTCATGGTTCTCTGTGATTCATTGGGCCAGAGAGAGACATAGACACACAGTGAAACAGTACCCGAGTATGACTTTGTGAGCCACTCATTGAGACTGCCTTTGGATTCACTGGGGATGGGAGGGGAAGAAGTAAATTACATTATAAACCAGTGGGTGTAGATCACTCCTGTAGAGGTGAAAGATGTGGGTACATCCCTGTTCCTGTGATTGTATATACAAACATTATGAAGCTGTCACTTAGACAAAATATAGACACAGTCCCCTGGTGAAGGGACCAGCATATTCCTCTTGTTCATTGGGTGTGGGAGCCAGGAGATTACAGAGGCTTGTTTCCTTCCTCGGGCTCTCAGTGTTTAAGGAACTTTAACAAAGTTGAGGTTCTCCAACCAGAATAGATTAGAGCGCCCCCGCCATGTTTTGGAAGAGGCTATTTACAGGAATACTCACATTAGAGGAATTGTGAGTTTGAGTCCTCTCTGACAGAAAAAGGAGAGAACGTTTCTGACATTCTGCACAACTACACCAGCCTTGAGGCCACGGAGAAAAGAGAAAGAAAACAAGGGAGGGAAGGAGGAGCAACATCTACAGATAAATTAACAAACTTATCTGTGGTAAAAGTAATATATATCCCTCCTGCACCCGTTTTGTAATTTTTTTTTAAGAAAGGGCTTGGGTACCCCCAGGTCTGTAAATTAGATTCAGAGAACTCAGAATGCATTGACAGGTAATATTTAATGCCTCTATTCCCTCCCTTTCGGATTGGCCAGTTTGCTTTGATTTTCACTCCGTATGGTGGCTGCTATGTGTCCCTTTTGGTGGAAGAGGACGTATGCAGGTGCCCTTCCTAAGAGGTAAGTTGCTCACTTGGGACTGCGGATTCTCTGCAGGGACAGTGGAGGGAGCTGTGGCGGGGTAGACATGGTGCATCCCTGAAGATCATTTAGAAGAGCCAGAAGAAGAGATTGGTGCTGTGCTTGCACTCATTTACGCCCTGATGTGTTGGTTAGGTACTTCACAGTTGAAAGTTTTGATAGTGGTTGTTGGAATGATCTTAGGACAGAAGAATCATGGCAAATTTGAAATGATGTTGTGCTCAAACAGCCACT